AAACCCTCAGCGGTCACGCTCCCAAGCAGTGCACTATCCAGTGCGCCACCGGGCCGGCCCTGGTCTTGGGTTTCTGCTACCACCTCTTGTAGCTAGAGAAGTGAGAGAAAGACATGCTATAATTCTCTCAGTAGAATTAGCCCAGCTGGTGGCCAAGAGCCTCTTCCCTGATGGATCCACAAGCCAATTATCTCAGGCACAGTCTGAATGGCCCCTGAAGGTCTTAAGACTGGGTTTCCTATGGAGGCAAGAAGGTACTAGTTCTCCCTTGGGGGCCTTGGCTGCTATAAGCAATCAATACACTTGACCTTTCCAGGAACACAAGCTTCAGGACACTGAAACAGCTAAAAGAAAAGGAGCAGGTAGCAAGCCAAGGAACTATTTGAACGATCAGGGGAAACCTACCAGGCTTAAATTCAATTTAACACTGAACACAAGAGGGTTCACCTGGGGAGTACAGGACGGGCAAATAATTTATTTAGTCTTTTACGCACCTGAGTTAGATGTCATTACTAACAACCTCTGCCACACAGGGGCATAAGCCCCCCTACAAAGCAGACAAATTTGTTCAATGTATATTCTAAGAAACCCGAGGAAAACGGAAGCCAGAGTGATTATAGGACAATTTAAACAAATGCAATAAAATTTCAACTAAAGAGCAGAAAAGGTTAGGCCTCTATATGGCTACTGTGAATTATTTTTATTGAAAAGGAAAAAAAAAGTTTTACTGGAAAAGCTACTAGTACATCCTTCTACATGAATACATTGCTCTGAAGAGGAGAAATGGAGGTGGGGAAGTATACAAGTTGGATCAGGGATGCCTGCAGTCAGTTCCCTGGGTACCTAGCGGGCAGGGAAGATCAGGAAGAGATCCACCTGGGATGTACAAAAGTTAGAGATGATTGCCCGTAGCTACCATGAAGTTGCCTCTTACACATCCGTCATTCATTCTTTTGGCAGTAGGGGCTCTCCTTCTTAGCCGATCCACTATCGGACAGACAGAACACTCCCCTAAAAAGCCAGCCTGGCTTCCTGGGCAGCCCGTCCTTCAAGATCAAGGCTTTCTAGCTCTTGAGGCTGTCACTGCTGTAGGTCTGTCTCCCTCAGCACCCTGCAGAGGACGATGCTCACCAACACACCACCAACAACTCCACTGCCAATTCCTATTCCCAAGGCTAATGCCACCTTCTTTTCCCACTTTGGGTGGTGAGGCCTGGAATAGTTGTCCAGATTAACATCCAAGCCCTCGTCTATTAGCTTCTGATCCTCAGTAAGGGACTGATGGAAATTCAGGTTCACCAAGTTAGGAGGAAGGACCCTCAGCCCAAAATAGAGCCTCTTGACAAGTCTCAAGTCTTTTAACAGCTGCACATCACACCGGTAGGTCCCAGAGTCATACTCTTGAACAGATATAAACTTCACAAAGTAGGAGTTGGCTCGGAAGGGTTTGAAGACCTCATCATCAGTTGAGATGATACCCCGAGCAAGTCTCCAAGTGAACCGGAAAGCTTCCTGCCCAATCTCCAGGATGTCTGAACTCAGACAGCTAAGCTCAAATTCCTTCCCAACAAGAACGGTGACATGGAGCATTCCGCAGATCCAGTTGGTCAGACATTCCAAGCGCTGAGACTTACACTTCCTTCTCACTCCATCAGGGCCCACCTCGCAGACGGTCTCTTCTTTATAGCCAAGGCCACAGGTGACAGTACAGCTTGTGGCATTGACAATAACTTTCCCCACAGCCTCTTGTAGCTTCTCAGGGATGGCCAGTGTTTTAGGTGAAGTCACCACCAAAGGCAGGTAGAAGGCCATCACCAGGCTCCCAAGAATGAAACTTGTGGCTAAGGTCTTCATGCCTTGGTGGGCACTTCACCACCCTCACCAGCACCCCAAGGGTATTCCACTTGAATCCTCTATGATATCATAACCTAGTTCCTTCAACATGAGGTAGCCTTCCAAGTCAAAAGATATGATGAATGCACTGTCAACAAGACAGTTCAACCCAACAAACAAAAATCCAGTCCTTATTAAAAGGCGAGACCACAAGGCAGAAAAAGAAAATCACAATGTTGTTGCTTTACTATCTGCGCTTGCTAATAACCACCTTACCAGTCTTCATTCTTTTCACATCCCTTTAATGAATTTAAATCCACCCTTGGGAAGACAAGAAGACTTCAGAAACTGAAGTGAATTTCCCAATTACCTCAAATACACAATGAAGTTACACACTTCCTCACCCTTTCCCCTCCCCTCCAAATTGTGGGATTGTTAAATTAAGGGTTTGAAAACCCCAAGTTAAATCTGACCAAATAAGAAACCAAATACCGAAGTCTAAAAAAAAATAAGAGGATTGACTTAAATGAAGGTCAAGTGGAAGTGCAGTAATTTGAATTACTTTGAATGCTTCTATAGAAAGGATTAAGAACTCTGGACTGGGAGGCAAGTGACTTACCCTTATTTCCTCCTTTGTAAATGAAGACGACCTTGCCTATTTCAGGAAGGTCACTTTGAGCATCAAATAGTATGTTAAATACAAAAACACTTCGTAAAGTGTGAAACACTGTGCATGTGTAAGGAATTTTAAGTAGAAATGAATATTCATGAAGACAAGGGCCAAGAGGCCCCTGTGGAATCAGAATGTTTACCGGCAAGATAGGCTAAGTTACAGGCAACTCTTCTCCCCCTTTCAGGTACTCTTCCTTCCCAAGGGTACCCAAGATATTTCCTGGGTGAGAAAATACATAGTGCTCCCTAACTCTCAGCCTCCTCCCTTCACCCTACACAATAAGCGAATGATGAACCACTCTAGGTCAAGGTTGCTATGAAACAGTTATGATGTCAAAGACGGTTTCTCAGTCATACCAAAGATAAGTGGACACTCAAATTTGGTACTGACTAAAATCAAAAACCTAAATAGACTTTGTGAAACATTTTTTAGGAGACAATAGTATTCAGTGGGTTCTAAAGCTATTTAATCTAGGAGAAAAGGTTAATAAGGAGGGATTGAACTATACCTAGACTTGAAGAAAGACCTTGGAAGGCAGAAACCCCCTGGCATGCATTTTTGTGAACTCTAGAATGCCTAGGACTAATAGCCTCTTCAGAGTAATTACACAAACTTACACTGAGTTAAAGAATATGAAGAGAGATAATGATATTTTCGATTAACACCAACTTTTTGTTCAAATCACTTAATTTATAACTTGTCTTGAGGCAGAAATCCAGACTACCAGATCACCTCCTACCCTATCCAGCTCTGTATTTCCATACAGAAAGACCTAACATCAACACAGTAAGCAGCATTTACCATTGTACAAAAGCAAAGTGGCTGGTGCACTCCAGTAGTGATCGGTGTTTACAAACAAACATCTACACCCGTTCTTTAATAAACATCCAATTTTATTTACAAAGCATTAAAGTTTCAGCAAGAAGTACCCAAGGCTAAGTCTCATCTTGTACAAAACTACAGAACATTTTAAAAATACAGTACGGGGCGGAGGGATGACAAAAGGGAATTCGAGAATGTACATATTATTGTACAAATCAATAATTCAAACTGAAATGGACAGAAGGTTTTTAGGAGCTGAAATAAAAATTCCAAAAAGCATAAATAATTATTAGGAGCTGCTGCCAGAGACAATCTGACAGGAGCTTAAGTTGATTTTCTCAGGAGCCAATTTAGGAGATGGACACAGCATAAACACCCAAATGCACAGGTAGAGGAAACCAAGCTATTTCACACATGGAAATAAGGCAGAAACGCTCTGTATCACACAGTTTGCAGACTCTTGCAGTGTACAATACAGAGAGAACTGGAATGGATATGTCTGCAAAGAAAAATGTCTAGTGGGGCACCCACCAACCTCAACCACTGATCTAACTCAAATGAAATTCACAAAATGAGCATGTGAGGAAAAAGAAGTGGAACCTAAAAATATACATATTTTGCAAATGACTCAGGGAGAGCTCTTCCTCTGACTACTAATATATTGGTTCTAAAAGATGGAATGGGAGAAAGCAGCTCTTAGTGATGTGTTCTACTTTGATTACTATCCTAAAATCTAAAAGATAATCAACGTGTTTGGCTACCTATAGGAGCATCCACCGAGTGACAGAGATTTCATAATGAACACAGTATTTAAACTCTCCTTTGAAAATACGGAGAAAATGATCCAGGTTAAGCACTTCTGGTCAGCTAAAAGCTCTACTCAGAGAGGCTGCTGAGGCCTTTCCACAGCTGGTTTCATAACTGGATGTTCAGAGAATTTCAAATACCTAATGTACATATCCATCCAATCTGCTACTTTTAATATAAAGAACAGTAAAAGGAAAAAAAAAAAAGCTAAGCAACCTTTCACAGAAAGGAAGTGACTGAAAACACAGTAAGAAAAAGGAGCATGGACACAGGACGGGAAAAACACAATGACTGACGGGGACAGATTTCCACAGGCGATGATAAAAAACATTTACCCGCTAAGCAACCTTTCACAGAAAGGAAGTGATTGAAAACACAGTAAGAAAAAGGAGCATGGACACAGGAAGGGAAAAACACAATGACTGACGGGGACAGATTTCCACAGGCGATGATAAAAAACATTTACCCTGATCTTTGATTTGAACTGTGTTGTTGCTGCTTTGATTTTGGATGGTTTTACTTTAGTCCTTGCATAGATTCCCCCACTCCAGCTTGTTGAGAGACACCTTGGTTTGTTTCCATCTCTGGAAGCCAGCACAGGTAAAG